AAGGATCTTATATCTAAAGATCAAGTTATAAAGTAGTGATATGAAAAGTATCATGTATGTAGCCTATTAGAGGCATTGTATAGGGTGAACTGGAACTTTTGTGTAATCGTTTCAAGGAATTTATATAAACCCTAGTTTTGTTAACTGATGTGTTGAATGATTGTCTGATTTTCTTGTATGGTGACTTGGTCGACTACGAGACGATACTTGGGACGAGTATGAGTAGGTGTGAAAGGTAGTAGATGCATATACTACCGGAAGCACAGGACTCACACTTGGATCAGGGAAAGTCACAAGGTTACCAAGAAGCTAGTGATTGATTCCATTTTATTCTGGTATGTCATTACCATTGTTTCGGTAATGACTAGTAATATGGTTCTTGTTCCGACCATAGTGGTCATATTTAAATTTGAGTTCGACGGCGAGGAGTATGTACGTGGTCTAGAGGACCGAGTTAGATGTAACATCTGACTTAAGTCAGAAGGTTGAAGTTAATGCGATTGATAGTGTCGCTCTCGTTGTTAAAAGAAGTTTGTAGGTAGAAATGCTACATGCTGAAATGTGATTATATCACATTAGAATATGAAGGAAGGTATATTCCATTCTGGAATTTAACTTTATTAAAGACCGAGTCTAAGCGTCGCATCGTGCGATGAGAGGTCGATAGAGCACGACCCATCGGTTTGTTACAATAGATAAATGAAAGTAATTATCCTAAGAAGAAGAAGGAGTCCATAATAACGACTTATTTGGTAACTCGAGGGTTACGATTGAAAGTACAACATAGTACGATAGGCAGATGCAAGATTTGGGCATCTTCTGCGATCAAGAAATCCGTAGAGTTAAATACTCTTTAGAGAAAACACGGAAGTTACGGTTATTACCTAGCATGAATAAATAATGTGTGGAATCATTATGAAAGTCCTATTTCGTTGATGATTCCGGGACGTAATCATCCTAAGGGGAGATAATTGTAACACCTGTAGATCCGGGCTAATCAATTTAGAGACGATAGGCATCAAAAATGACTTTTTGATGGAAGATTATCTAGAAGGATTAATCTTAACCAAGTTGTAGTATATGTCACAAGGTTTCCGTGCATATAAAGAACGCCAAAATCCGAGTTATAACGAAGAAGTTATGACCCGGCGAAGTTTCGCGACAGAACCGGCACGACGCAATGCAACGTAAAAAGTGAATTTACGTTAGAGCGGTATTTAGCCGAAGCAATCTAAATGAGAATCGAAGATCTCATTGTTGGTATCGAATCGATAAAAAGTTAGGCGAGAACGGACGTCAAACGAAGAAGTTATGAATTTTTAACAAAAGTTTCTGTCCCGGCCTATTAAAAATAAATAATAAAAATAAAAGTCAAAATTAGCCGACGGAGTGTAAACGAAAGTTGTAGATCGTAGTCTCACCTTCGCGTGGATATAAAGAACGTCGAAAATGGAGTTCGTATGAAGAAGATATGAATTTCCGAAGATTATTAAATAATTTGTATTTATTTTTAATCTTTAATTCGGAAGCATTATCCGAAGGAGTCACCGGTCTTATCAGAGGTACGCCCCGTGTACTCGAGTACGCCCCGCGTACTCCGAAGGTGTCGACATCGCAGCAAGTGGCTTCGGATACGTAAGCAATGACGCATTCGGACCAGTACGCCCCGCGTACTCCGAGGCTCCAGCCTCCTATAAATAGGATGCGAGGGCAGCCGACCCAAATGCCAATTTCCTCTCTTCTCTCTCCCGTTTTGCATCGATTTGCGTGCCAGAAATACCCCGAATCCCCGGTATCATACTCGATCCCCGATGCGAGTCCCGAGATCCCGAAGATCCCGAGAAGTGCGGTTCCCGAGTCGATGCTCTGCCCGCGAGAAGTTCGATTTTTGAAGAGATCTTCCAGATCTGCTGAGGATTACTACTTCTGCAAGTCGTAGTGCTGTCCGATCATCTTCTGATCAAGTGAGTGTGTAGTTATTTTCTTCTAACGCATAATTATTAAATATTTTCTATAAAATACGTGCTACGTGTATAATATAAAGTTGTTTATATGTGTGGGTGTATAGTCCCTTTCATAAACACGGGTATAATACAAGTATTGTTTGAATGTATTAAGTATATGTTTGGGAGAGTGTATGTTTACTTTCTTCTAACACATAAATATGAAGTATTTGGTATAAGATACGTGCTATGTGTTTATATATTGTTGTTTATTTGAGATGAGTATGGAATGAATGTTTTATATAGTTTTTAAATGAGTTAAACTGTATGTGTATTCTATATCTACAAATATGTTGGGTAGAACATGGGTAAATGAGATAGTTGGTATGTGATAAAGTGATGAGGTATGAAAGATGATTAAGAATGATATTGGTAGATGCACCTATTAAAGAATGTCATAAAATTAGCAGATGTGCTGGAGAAGAATGTCAGCAGATGCGCCAAATAGAGATTGTCATAATAATAGCAGATGCGCTTATAGAGTAATCCTGACAGATGCGCTTATAGGATAATGTCGGCAGATGCGCCAAATAGAGATTGTCATAATAATAGCAGATGCGCTTATAGGGTAATCTTGGCAGATGCGCTTATGAGATAATGTCGCAGATGCACCTAAAAGAAAATGTCATAAACCTGGCAGTCGCGCCTCATAATGTATGACGTAATCCTGGCAGAGGCGCTTAAAGGATGATGTTGGTAGATGCGCCTTATGTAGCAATAGATTTTTTTGCTAATTCCTTTGGTAAATCTTAGGAATGAATGAATGACGGGTAGTTGAATTCTTAGGGTAAAATCCTAAGAAATAAAGGAGATAATGGGGATGGGTAATTGGGTTGATTGTTTGATGGTTGATTATAATAATTATATTATTGTGGGTTGAAAACCCTATATGCTCACCAGGCTCCCAAGCCTGACCCTCTCAGTTTTCTTTTCATTACAGGTAATGGCACAAGGGTATAAGTTGGTAGACTTGACGAGAGATTTTGGGATTATAGATCAGTAGTTATAATTAACTATTGTAAGATCTATTTTATATTGTTTATGCTTTTGGTATGTATCGGAACATGACATCCCGAGGTTTTATTATATAATGGAAATACATTCTCTTTGAGAAATGTTTTGATAAATGGTTATCATATTTTATTTTGGGAACAAATTCCGCAAACGTTTTCTTTAAACGATCACTATGATTTATAAAACAAAGCATAAACAAATCGCTCTTTTCCGGCCGTAAAATTGGGGATGTCACAATGTCCTAGGTTATAGCCGTAGTTCCTAAGAAATTACTATTTCGCTATAACCTGAGGCTCTAATACCAATCTGTCAAACCCTGCTTAGCCAGCGGCGAAAATGCCAGACAGTGCGACGTGGGATTAATTGGATCTTGGCAATCAAATATATTGAACATTACACACAAGTATATGAAAAACGATATTTTTTTTTTGAAAAGTATGTATTACGTTGTTTTAGTAGACGAAACATACATCTTAAAAAGAAATTAAACATTGAACAAACAGGAACAACTTCCAACATTCTTCTATGACGACTCCCTCTTCAGACCGCCCTTTCTCTACACTCATCTCCTTGAGAATATATGTATTTTGAAAACGTCAACAGGTTGTTGGTGAGTTCACATATTTTTATTTGTTTTCTTCTTTATTTGATCTTTTAAAAACTCTTTTCTTTTTTGGAATAATCTCTTTTAAAACATCTTATTTTATTATTTGAAAATCCTTACCTCCTAAGTATTTTAGGGTGTTTTATTTATCCTAGGTCTATCTAAGTTAGGATATCTTAACATTTTAACTAGTTGAATGTGCCCCTCTTGGTAGTCGCTTCCCCTAAGGTTGTTAATCGCATTAGCATAAACCCCTATAATCGGCGTTGTAGAATTATAATAACCCCGCACGACGTTTCATCGGACGCTGTAATACTAAGTTATTAAGCAAGGATTGTAACTAGCAATCGCTGGTAGGGGTGTCAAACCTCGTATAGATCTATAAATATATTTTCATATCTCTTTAAGATTAACGATTATAATCCGAGGTAGCCGAATTTAATCAAGACTAAAAGATGAATAATTTAAGTTAACTAAGAGTTTAACCTTTGTATTTTATCTTATATTTGAAACTTTTATTTTATTAAAAACCCTTCATAATTATCGTTATATACCTTTAGTATATATGATTATTGTTTATTTATCTCATGATCATCTTTAATTTATATATATATATATATATATATATATATATATATATATATATATATATATATATATATATATATATATATCAAGGCTGCATAAATCGGAATTAATCGTAGATTAATCGTTTTATGTACTCCAACCAACTAGGATTAATGATGCTTGACATAATTAGTGATTCATCCGGTTTGGTGGATTAATCGATCTTAGCGGGATTAATCAGTCAACAAAAAGTAAAAAATAACAATAAATAAATAAATAAGGTAAAAAATGTCAAAAAAAAATCATAAAATTAACTTTTTTTTTACTCCAAAATTACCAAAATTTTAAATATTATAAAAAATATTCATATTTTTGTATTTTCAAATTATAAAATTTCATATTTTCTAATTTTGAAGTACTTGTTTTTCTTAAGATATATTAACTTTTGATTAATTTTAATACTTTATTAATAGTTTATAATCCCCGATTAATCTCTGTCAAAACCGATTAACCAACTCTCCTTTTGACGGCATTAGCAAAAACCCAACCGATCCATGGATGCCATTTTGACGTAATTAACTTTAACTACGTGTTGATTTTTACTTTTAACTGAATCCATAACTCCTCCAATCTGATTCGGATTTTTACGAATTTAATATCCTTGAGATCATGATGGAACAAGTATTGAGACTTCATTCCATTTATTTAGGTGTTTATAAGTTTAGAATTCTGGTATGATTCTTGTTAGGGGTTTATTATATGGTATTTAATTTATTGGTTCCATACTTCAATTCATTTGAAATACTCGGAACCCCAATCAAAAAATTGTATTCTCTTCTCCATTCTGTCTTTTATAATTGAAATTTTATGAATTATAATACAACTCGCCTTTTGGTGTTTTCCTTCAAGGATTTCCACCTAATCTTATGCATTCTTGGTTTGTTCTAGCTGTTCTGTTTATCATGACATTTATAGCACGAATCACTTCTCTAACTTAGTAAAGAATGTTCATTCTCACATTATTCCTTGATAAGACAACATTCAGTTACACTAGTCCTAATATGTTGAAGGAACTACGTACTGCCCAGTTTAAGGACCTTGTTTGTATACATCTTGTACGGATGTACAGTTTTATATTAATCTTGGTTGTTTCTCTCACTCGTATTCTTGATAGCTTTCAAAATGGCTTGTTTTACCACATGTGCATCAATGTCATCAACGTGTCCCTCATTCTGCAAAACCGTAACATTTATCAATATAAAAGTTGGATTGGAGAACGAGACTTACCTATAAATAATTGCAAAAATAAGCAGTTGGGGTGTGCAAAGTTGTTTACAAAACAAATGGAAAGGCAAGTATGGGACATTTTTCTAATTCTCAAGAAACAGAATTTACAAAACCAATGCATGTGTCGTTTCTACCATTGACGTACATAAAAGCAATCGAACTAGACCTGTAATAATATGAACAATTCTTTACGAATTAACATATCTGTCTCTATGTGTATAAGAATAATGTTTAAGTGAAATTAAATCATATATATACGAAAACACATCTAAACAAGTAAAATAACTTCTTACTTCGCTTATGGCTTGGAGATGGAACTTATTGGAAGAGGACACAGCAGCATCACATACGTCAAGTCCAAGCTCCTCAAAGGCTTCCAGGATTGTGACAAGTAGACCAGGGCAATCCTCTTCAGAATACACATTAATTCGAAAACCTTTATCTAGGGTTTCTACTCTGACTTGCTAAATTTTGGAAAGAAAAAATATATTTAAGATACAGTATGAACGCAACGTGAAGTATTATATCATGTTTTGGAAATGAAACAAGAGTTTACCATAGGTAATGAACTATATTCGCTCGAACTTGTGATATCTTCATTAAGTCTTTCTACTTTCTTTTTCAGTTCCTCGATATACTTTGATGCATCTACAATAATTGATGTTTTGTGAACCTGCAAGTCATGATAAAACCAAGCATCATATAAATCTGATTTATGATTAACAGTTAATTACCTTTTGTTCAACAGTACGACAACATCTACATCAAAGGATAATCATGTAATTAAAAAGGTACACATAAGTAGCATGCGTTCAGAAGTGGTGCACTATAAGGGTAAGCAAGAAAATCGGAAAATCTATGTACATCAATATGTTTTCTTGTGGGCCGGGTCTCACTAAACAATCAAAATATTAAAGCCAAATAATTCGACTCAGATAAATTTCTATATGTGCAACATCTAAACTAAGAAGTTTACAGCATTTGAATGGGAAACCGAACGAAGTTGTTTTATCTTCTGATATAAAGCAGATCTTTCCTCCTCCTTAGAACCCATTATTGTATAATATATCTCTAAGAGCTAGCAAACTTTCATATGGGATCTTTCATAAAGAATGAGAGATATAAAGAAGAAGAAGATGGTTTAAAACATATAGTTGTGGGCTTCGCATGAGTACCAAAAAAGCTCTCAATCATCATATAGGGTAACACATAAACAATAAAATATGTTTGTGCAATTACAGAAGCACCCTTCTACCGGGATTTACAGTGGGGCTAGCTATTTAAAGTAAAATAAAAAATATATAACGCGGAAAGATGACAAAGTTGTCGGAAACTGTATGCTTGTTCACCAGCTAATCTGATCACAATTTCATGGGATTATAACCAGTATTCTATTAAGACTTAAACAGTACTTCTCCCAAAAGTTGGATGTGTATTAACCTTAACGCAAACATATGTTCTGACAGCATTCACAAGATCAATAGTGTACCAGATAAAGTCATACCCAATTTCAGTCACAAAAAAAATATTTAGAATAAACTCTAACACAAGTACTTCAATCACTCAAAATATGGCCGGTAAATTTATAACTATTAATGACTAAATATGACATTCTAAACCTTTGGTGCATCGACAAGATTGTGGTGCTAGTTATCTCGTAATTGCAGTGATAATTTATTAGATGGTGTTAAAAGGCATATTTCTTTTTTGCAGGTCTTTAGTAGATGTAAAAAGGTGCAGTCCTAATTTCAAGAGTTGGGTTAAGATTGCTACCAAACAATTTTATCCAACAATCTTGGAATTACCAATTAACATATCTTAATTGTTATATATAACAGGGATAAGGTACACAAAATGTTATATATATATATATATATATATATATATATATATATATATATAATATATATATATATATATATATATATATATATATATATATATATATATATATATATATATATAGAGAGAGAGAGAGAGAGAGAGAGAGAGAGAGAGGTAAGTTCAATTGAAATTAAAAATAAAATAAAAATCTTCATATTCAACCTAAACCATATATTTTAAGATTGCCGCTCTAACCCTCTGGTGTACCGATGCGACAGACCTGATATAATCGAAAATGATTAGATAACGTCATATGTTTCTTTCTCCTCCGCCACCATCCCCACCACCACTACGTACCACCAACTCTGACATCAGCCGACCTCATCACTGTCACTTCCGTTACTTATACCACCGTCTCCTCTATCACCACCATCTTTTCTGCCTCTAACTGTCATAATAATATATGATTACTGAGTCTATAAGCAGACATATATATATATATATATATATATATATATATATATATATATATATATATATATATATATATATATATATATACATACATTGTTGTAAACTCGTCAACTTGGCCGAATACTTCTCCGAATACTCGTTACCCGGCCCTTGCCGAGGCAAGTTACAGAATTTTGAGTACTCCCTGATCGGTACCTTACTGAACTGAGCAGTGTTGTAAAACTCAGACAACTCGGTGATTAATATGTATAATATATTTAACGATTTATTATATAACACAAACACATGTGATTATTACTTTATATTTATCTTAATTTTTCATTAATTATCCACAAAGTGAAACCATTATGTGTTTTTCAGTTTTTATGTATTCATATATATATATATATATATATATATATATATATATATATATATATATATATATATATATATATATATATATTTCAATCAACTTATGATTTTAACATATATAATTTTCCTAAAAGTATTTCTACATTAATTACCGAATCCGAATACTCCCGAGTACTTCTGAGTACTCGGTACTCAATAGTCGACCGAACAGATACCAAGTAACGAGTTCTCTCTCTCTCTCTCTCTCTCTCTATATATATATATATATATATATATATATTATATATATATATATATATATATATATATATATATATGAGCATTTATGATTATGCATATACTGCTGTTGTCGGTACATCGAAGCGTTAGAGCTGCAAATGAGAAATGTATAGCTGAGGTTGAATCTCAACATCTCTACTTTTTTTTTAATCTCAAATGAACCGTCCGCCATATATATATATATATATTATATTATATATAATATATATATATATATATATATATATATATATATATATATATATATATATATATATATATATATATATATATATATAGTTAACTTAATTTGAGATGCGTCTAAATTTGTGATACCGTTAGACCACTTTTTTTAATTAAATATTCTAATATTTTGTTATTCAAAAAAATATTATATATTTAGTATTCTGATATTCTAAAACAACATTTTTATCATATTTACATTGAAATATTCTAAAAGCATATAATATTAGAATATTGTACATATTATATTTTTACAATAATTAGAATATTAGAAAATTTTACTGTAAAAAATTGGTCTCACCGTCTCATAAAATTATGTCCGTCTCAAATGAACTTATATATATATATATATATATATATATATATAATATATATATATATATATATATATATATATATATATATATATATAGATCCGGTAAGAAATTTTTTTTTATAGGAAGGTAAGAAGTTTTTTTTTCTACATAGTTTTTTGACGAACAAAAAAAATGAATCACTAGATGATTCATTTTTAAGATGATTCACAAGAAAAATTCTTAAAAAAACATCTTTATGATTCATTTTTAAGTAAATTAAGAAAAAATTCACTTTTATGATAATTTTAGTGAATAACAACAAAATCATTATATAAATGAATCATCTAGATCTTTTTTTGAAAATTTATTCTTGTGAATCATCTTACAAATGAATCATCTAATGATTCATTTTGTTTGTGTGCGAAAAAAATATGTAGAAAAAAAACTTCTTACCTTCCTACCAAAAATTTCTTTCTTATTTGATCTTGATTCTCTCTCTCTCTCTCTCTCTCTCTCTCTATATATATATATATATATATATATATATATATATATATATATATATATTCAAGTTCTCCATATACTTACATTAAGTTTATTTTACACCTTGTCACCGGGATCAACATGAATTAGTTTCAAAAGTTATATAATATAAAGTTTAATGGATATGACTCAGCTTGAGGATTATCATAATATTCAGATTACGACAATCTGCTTTTGGGTATGGCCCAAAATATGACAGGAGGGACAAATTCAGATTTGCTAGGCACGTTCAGTAAAACTAATGCAGTTTGATTCACCGGCTTGAATGTAACCCATTTAGTGATCGAATTTTTTCTAATTTACCGATCTTTTGCCACAGGAGACTATGGGGACAAAAAATGACAGTGACTATAAACAAAGACAAGGGGAGTGATGGTTCAGTCTATCGAATACCCCCGTGAGATAGTTTTGGATGCATTAACAGCTAATGCTGGCAACGGAAACACATACTTACAACACAATTTTGTTTGACATCTGACAAAAATTCTCTCTTCTCTCTTCTTTCTATGTGTCGCTGTCTGAAGTCCCCACACCATCATCACGAGATACATCACAATCACCCCTATCTGTCAATTTTGTTTACCTTGGTTATTCTTTTTCCGTTGGTTGATATCTTGCTCATGATTGTACCATCTATAGTGCATGTTTTTCCCATATTGGTGGTAGAAACTTGCTTTTCAATTTGGAAGATGAGATGCATGGAATTTGTAGATGATGGCATTAAAACTAAGGACTTATAGCCGAATCTATAATTCATTTAGCTCTAAATAGTTAAATGGATTTATATATTATTGCCATCTAGTATTTTATGTTTTTTATTCTAATTTACTATTTAATATTATAATACATTAACCCTGTAAAGTTTAATAAATTTTGAAGTTGTCACCATCATATATTTAAACACAATTGTTAGTTTATAAATAAAGGATACAGTTGTTAAAAAATATAATATTTAAAAATACATTAACTAAAAATTATAAAACCTAAAACATTCAATGCCTAGAAATACATTAATTAAAAAAAAGTATGTTTGATCTTGAGCTTTTCACAACGTTTATTCAAAATCTATCACCTCTCTTCCTTCATTCACTACATGAAATAGATGTATTACCGGTGACAATGTCGCCGGTAAAAGCCAAATTTGTCGTTGTTACTAGTATTCCCAACATGTTGCCTCTATTACATCGTTGCTAAAAATCCGTTGCTAAGACTCTTTTATCGTCAATAATACCCGTCGCCGGTAATATACGTCACTGGTACTACCCCAAGTCTTAGGTAATATCGACACTATAAGAAAAAAAACCATTAGCGACGACAAAAGTCGACGATAAAGATTAGCGAAGTCGACGGTAATGGTAATAGTTGTGACGTGTCGTCGGTAATAAGTCGCCGCTACTGCTTTATTGCTATTGATCAAAATGTCACCGGTAAAGAGATTTGTCGCCGTTAATGACCATGTCGCACTAGTATTTTGCATCGTCGTTAATGCTCATGTCACCACTAATAGTGTCGTCGGTAATAATATTTTTCATTTTTAAATTTTTATTAATCAACGAATTTTGGTATCAAAAAACAGATACATTATGACATTAAATACAGAAAAAAAAAATTACATAACATCCTATTAGATACCAAATACTGTTATAATAAATTTCATACCAAAATAAACAAAGGTTTACAATTGTAACAAGTGTCAAAGTGTGAAGTGTGACGACAAGTCTAACATACAACACACACATTAATTATCTGACATACCACCATCTCTGTTCCCATCGTTTCCTCCCTGGTTATTCCCCGATTGAAAAGATGCATAAAACTACTCCCTATAAGTCGGGTTTTTGAGCATTGCCTAGAGATTTTCCAACTACATAATAAATAATATTATATATAAACTTATAAGTTAAATTATCAAACATAAACAAAATACTGCCAATGTACAATACTATTTCTTGCACTTAAATACAAGATATACCAAATGTACATTGTTATTTCTTGCACTTGGGACAAAAACACAATTACCAAATCAACATACATTTTATGATGCCAAAGCAGATTGTTATTTTTAAACTAGAGATATAAAACCAAAGGATATTTCTATTTTTTACACTTGGGACAAAAGCCCAATTAACAAAGCTTTTAGAAAATAATTATCACAAACCAAAATTTCCAAATCAACAAGTATTTTATGATGCCAAAGTAAATTGTTATTTTTAAACTAGAGACAAAAAACCAAAGTACATTGTTCTTTATTGCACTTGGGACAAAAACCCAATTAACTAAGCTTTTAGCAAATAATCACCACAAATCAAAATTACCAAATCAACATGCATTTTATGATGCCGATGTATATT